AAGCAGTTAGTCTCTCCTTAACCATGAGGTTGATGGTCTTTATGAATACAGATTTTAGTGAAATTGGTCTTAAGCAACTTAAATCATTTAAGTCTTTACCTGGTTTGGGAATGGGAACTAATTTGATGCAACGCAAATCAGAGGGTATAAAGTTGGTGGACCAGCAGTTGTTAATTGAATGCAAAAGCATGCTAAAGCTTCCTCCAGACAGTGCTCTGAGCATGTCATACTTGACTCCATCACAACCTGCAGCAGTAGCTCTCTTTCTGGAATGTAAAACATACATTAGCTCATGCAATGAAAAGGGTGTGTTACTGATACTACTAAAAGGAATTGAAGGCGTTGTAATAGGATTAACAATTGGAATGTAGCCTTTGAGCATATCTAAGTATTTTTTATTATCACGGTCTTTCCATACAGCACAACCGCTTAATTTTCGACTAGAATGTCGATGACCATTGATATAATTCCACAAGGAACGTGGGTTGCCGTTACCACACAAATCTATGTGCAATTTTCGCCTTTCTAACTGCAGACCTCCATTCTTTCAGTATTTTCATATATTCAATGTAGTTGGCTGGATTGGCATATTTACTCATTTTTTTTCTTGCAGCTTGGTATTTGAGGAAAGGTGTTGACAGGGAAGGGTTCCACCAAAGTTCAGGTGAGAAGGACTAAACGTCAGGAAAGTTTGTTCTAGCAGACATGATCATAGACTGAAAGGCACTTTGAATTGATGATAAATCAACTTTAGACAGACGGTCCATAAGGAAGTTGCGTGAAATGAAATTTTCTATTTTCTTAATGGAATTGTTACAGCTGTGGAATAAAATGGGAGAGTGCTAACTTTTGCCAATGGAAACGTTGGACGTGTTCCAGTTGAAAGATAAAATAGTCGAATTCGAGAAAGTTAGATCCAAGACACTGCTCGCCGTGCGAACACTCCAGTTCCAGTGAAAAGTAGTATTGCCGTTATTTAAGACGCTGAAACTGCTGAAATTGATGGCATTTACAAAGATTTTGCCTTTGTTGGTAGAGACTTGATCGCCATACAGGCAGTATCTTGCATTGAAATCTCCAGCTAGAATCACATTTTGTTCACCGTCAAGAAAATCGCATAATCTTTGAATCTCATCACGAAAGGTTTGCACATCGAGACTGGGTGGAAAGTAGCATGAGGCTATGAAAAGATTCGGTTTCATGTTGATGGTTTTGATGATGATGATGCCAACGGCAGAGCTATAGGAAATACGTCTGAAATTGACATCTTTCTTAACTAATATACTAACACCACCATAGCCATCATATCGGCATTTGGTGGCTGAGGCATAATTCGAAACTTTAACTTCGAAACAGTTTTCATCTTTCAGAAAAACTTCACTTAAGATACAAAAATCAATCTTGTTTGAGTTTAAGTAAAAATCTAGAAAAGATAGGTTACGTCCGACACTTTGAATATTATATTGTAAAAAGGATATCATGTTGAAACTTGAGAAAGAACCCCAGCGGATTTCCTCGCAGTACTGTATGCTCGAACGGGGCAAGAAGTAGCACAGACAGACACTTTTTCTTCAAATTCTTCAATAAGATTGTGAGGGATCATCGGACTGATACTTTCTTGAATCGCGAGAATTAATCTTTCAAGTTCTTTTTTTTCCTTATTTTCACTAACACCGGTAAACACAAAAATTATCCAGCTGCCGTTTGCAGAGATGACGCGTTGTATCAAGTGTGAATGAAATGCGAATAAGGACATCTCTAAGTACGCGAATTTGCCAAATGAAAACGACTAATGAAGGAAATTCAAATTTGAAAATATGAGAGGGGTTGTTATCTCACTCTGACCTACAATTGATTACTATGATAAGTCTTTTTTTTAAATATATTCTATCCGCCTGAGTGGCCGAGTAGGCAAGAGTCTCGACTACCAACTCAATGGTCGTGGGTTCAAATCTCAAGTGCGGTAGAGTTTTTAATAAAGCCGAAAGCCTTAGATGCTAGTGCTTTAAGACTTTAGTCTTAGAATTTATTCTCTGACTAAGTTTATAGTAATAATAATAATAATAAATATATTCTGCAAGTAAATAAATGCTCAACAAGCTCTAATTTTGACATGTTTTGGACCATTAAATTTTTCACTCTCATAAAGAGTAGTCATTATTTTCGCAAAGTTAGGAATAAATTTTGACATGATCCACGATAATACAACCTGTGTCGCGTGAAAAATAACATCTGCAGGTTTGACTATAAAAGTTAGACGGGTCATCTTGAATACGCCTACATGTAAGGTCCACGTAGATAGCTTTCATGAATTGTCATTCACTACTAACTGATTATTTGCATTCGCAAGATTCAATTTTGTATACACTTTACCTTGCAAAGACGCGAACAATCCTTCTATCAATGTCAACGTATATTTATCATCTTACAAGTACTTATTGATAGTAACTCATAATCTCTACAGATACGGACTTGTCCATTGGGCTTAATAAAAGAAACAATACCTCATTCTCAATTTTCTACTTTTTCTTTACAACAATTACTTTAATAATTAACACACACTGTTTTCGTACTTACACTTATCCCTTGTGTGGTTTTTCCACCTCCAATATGCACTTTTCTTCTTGAAAATAAACCGAGTCGCAACCAAATGGTTGTTTATAAATTGAAAATAAACCAAGTCGCAACCAAATGGTTGTTTATAAATTGAGAATAAACGCTTGGCTGCACTAGCAAGTTTAAATCCAAAAATCCAAACAACGCTTTTACCCTAAAGCAGCAATTTGTATTGAACGAAATGTGGAATCTATGCTCGGTACTGGCTTTCCTCGAAGTGTCACTTGATGATGAATCTTCAAAACTAAGAAGAACAGCGATTGTTTGATACATAAAACCGCCTTTGCACACAAATTTGCAGCTGTTTGCAAAAATTATGAGAAAGTGCAACCAAGTTAAAAAGGTGTAAAAAAAAATTAAATGAGTATATGTACCGTAAACTTTCAGATTCATTTATCGAATAAATTTAACACATCGCTGGAATTCCTCAGTTCCTTAAGTTCTTCGTTTTAAATTAAATGAGAGAAAATATTAGATATTAATATTATTAGCCTACTTTCTATCAAGATTTCTAAAATGATGTAAGCTTCATGGGTTATTAAGAAAAATGTACTCTTTGAAGTTTTACTGCACTTTTTTAGTACAACATATGGGCTATGAAAACTGGATTTTAGTGTGTTACCTCAACGTTCCAAGTGGGCATTTATAAAAGAAATAGCCCATTAAAAAACGAAGTGAAAAAATGGAACAGGACGACGAAAATTTCCCATCGACATCAGAAAAGTTAAGAAGAACCAGAAAATTCAAATCGAATCCTGAAAAAGGAAGGCGATCTAAGTTTAAATAAAGTCCCGAAAGAAGGAAACACAACAGGGAAAATACAGTTGTAAGTAATGAAGGTGAAAATGACATAGTAATTATACGAATAGAAAACGAACGTATAGCTCTGCTGATTTAATAACGACCCGTTTGATCGAATCCAATTTACTCAAAATCGGTGAGCTTATACTTCTAGTGTCCTATAATCAAGTCAAAAAAGAACTTATATCAGAGCATTTGATGCGGTATTGCGCAAAAGGAGATATTGGCGTAGATGACACCTGTAAGGATGATATGATTGTGACTGAGTCCGGACTCAAACTAAAATTTCAAATGAAGTATTTAGGGCGCCATCGATTAACGATTTATACTTGCGCTACCCTAGGAAATTTTTTACAAATGGGTTTTCCAGCCAATCATTTTACGCATGTATGAACTGATGACAGAAGCTGAAAATATGGTTGCTGTTGCTCAAGTATCTAAAAAGGTAATCCTTGCTGGAGATCCCCATCAATTGCAAGCAGTCGTTATAAACAGATGTGCTTGTGAACGCGGTTTTTCGCTATCATTTTCGGAGAGAATTATTTCGCGTGCTCCATACTTAAGAAATGTTGATAGTTTCCCCTTACATGTGGTTTTGACCTTCGCCTGGTTACAAAATTACTCTACAATTACCGGTCGTTGCCATACTTAATGTTTATGATGAACTGTTTTACAATGCGGAACTGGTACCAATGATAAGAGAAGAGAATTCTAGACAAGCTAAAATGCTGAAGCAACTTGACGATATACTGCCGCAATCACCAAATCGACCCAAAACACATGGCATATTCTTCTGCGGAATAAGTAGTGAAAATATGCAGGAAAAAGACTCACTGTCGTGGTATTTTCATTACGAAGCGAAGAAAGTAAGTTGACTTTAGTTTAAACGCACAATCCCTTCTATCCCATCTCTCTAGTATTTCGTATCATATATTTCATTTTTGAAGGTCTTTCTAATGGCAGTTAAATTGCATCGTAATAACATTAAACCGGAATCTATTGGCATCATAAGTCCGTACATGAAACAGGTTAAACATTTGTGCGACCTTTTTGTTGATGCCGATGTAGCAATGCCTAAAATTGGTTCTGTGGAGATATTCCAAGGACAGGTATAACCTTCGTAAAATTACACTAATGTTGGAATTAACACTACTGTTGCTTTTGCTTGGTTTTTTGTAGGAACGCGATATAATATTAATTTCAACAGTGAGATCAAGCAAGGAGCATATATGTACCGATGTGCCCCACGATGCATTATATTTCATCAACGCGGCGATATCTCGACCTTGTTGTAATATACTGCAACCCCTATTCCCTTTTGGATTCTCGTTGGCGCACGATTATGAAGTACTGCGTCAATAATGATGCCTACTTCGGTTGTGACTTGCCAGCAACGTTGTCTGACCCATCAAAACTAGCCGAGGGGACAGGTAACAATCAAGATAATTAAGTTATTTTTGGCCTCAATATTCAGTCCTTAACATTAATTAATAAACAAAAATAAGACTATTTTTTTATTTTCTTATAAAAGTTAATGTATTTTTTAAAACCTAAAACAATAAAAATTGTTCTAATTTATTTTGTTTGAAATTTGGATTCGATTTTACTTGGATTTTCAAACTTTGACAGCAAACTGTTCAAAACGATTCATAGCTATGAACAACTGAGTAATTTCGTGTTCTTTTCTCCCTGCAAACCGTTATGTCGAGTTCTTGTTTGTATTTTTATAAATTTTTGGCAACAAAATTAAATAACAACAGAATATGGAAGAGAAAATACGTGCAATATTAATCAATTGGATTTACGTATGCCAACTTTGAATTGGCTTCCAAGATACTGCAGCTGGTCATTGCCGTTACTGATCAACATTTTCAAACTGTTTAAGAATTGTACTAGATTCGTTTGAAATGACTTTGCTATTAAATCCATTCATTGCAATTTTTTCTTTTAAATCGATGGCAAGTGCATATAATGTTTATGATTGTATAAATTAGGCAATAAATAGAAGCAAGTGGGAAAACTTCACGAACATTGGATACTTATCACCTCGAAGTATTACTTAAAATGAGTTATATTTTGTCATTTATGCATCTCTGACAGACTTTTGCTCCAAATCTTAGATGAAAATGTGGAAAAATTCAGAAATATTTTGAAATTTTACCCGCCAAAAAAAGGCCTTTTAGACTGCACCGAGATGATAGACATTTAAAACTACATTTGCTTTAAGGGATATCTGATGCCTTTTTCTGTGTGAGTGTTATATATACTAATAATTTGATTATACTATTCTCCTTAGGTGGCTTTTATAAAAAAAGTTAGGCAATTCATTGCAAAAAATAAATTAACAATATAATGTAATAATAATGCTTCTTTCAAAAATTGTATCGTTTTGAAAAACACATTTGAAAAAAGTCAATTTTATGTTTTTCTTTTTTCTTATCGGTTTTTTGAACCAAGAAAAAATTCATCCGAATTGATTATTGCAGAAGCGAAATTATGAACGGCATATATAAATGAAAATGAGTAAATTGCAATATCTCTTCTTAAATGATAATCGCACTCAACAACTTCATAGAATGAAATTTATTCGTACGCTAAATTTATGTGGAAATCCCTTCTGTGAACTAGCAGCAGTAAGAGGACAATTAAAGGTAAATTTTGCTCTGGCCATTGAAGGAGAACGTTTATTTAGAAGTCCTTCGTTGCAGGAACATGAAAATATTTTATATGAATTATTGGAACAAAAATCTGCGGCTGTAAGCGGTGACTTGGACGATTTAATATCTCTTACACTTTTCCTTTCTTTGCAGGATATATCTATACTTATACGAGAATTCTCGCGCTATATAGCAAATTTCAATTAAAGGTTTTCCCGGTCTTTATATCTCATTATTGATTGTTTTGTGAAAATTATAGATTTTTACATATGTATGTAAGTTGAAAAACCAACAAGCAAATATTGCTATTAAAAAAGATTTGGAGAATATATCAAGTGAATGGAGCTTCGCTCTACTTTATGATCAACTAAATATATTGTACAGGTCTTCTTCTTGCTGCTCATATAAGGTCGTAGAGGCAGAGCAAACTAAATTCCAATAACAATACCAACAAAGTGCTAAGTACTGAAATTCCTCTCAGAGTATTCAGAAAATTGGGTAAAACCGATAAAAGTAAGTTTCTATGTTAAATTTAATTTTTAATATGCTCTACTTTTTATGTTAAATTTAACATTGAATCACTTTAAAAAGGAAAATATGTTGCCATCATGATTTATTTTCTTTGAAAAATTATTACCGCTCTTTCGTTCTAAAAAAAAAAACACCTTTAATTTTATTTTAAAATATCAAGAGACCAAAATTTTTTTTTTAAATCTTAAGAAAAAAGCATGAGGAAATATAGATTTCTTTGAATTAACCAATATTTTACAAGCTCTAAATAATATATATTAAATGTGTATATACCACATATAAAAGCGTGAAAGCCGCCGAAGCGTCGACGCAGATCTACTTTCAAATGTCAATCAGGAGCGCCGAAAAGATGAAATTCTACATACAAAGTGCACACGAATTAGGACTTCTTTTTTGAATTCGTTTTAAGACTTCAGAAAAATACAAATTCGATATCACTGAAAAAATTCAGATTAAAATGAAATGATTTGTCTTAAGTTGCTTAAGTCATCATAGTAGTTATTATAATATTATATTTATATTTAACTTTAGGCAAAAGTTTAAAAAGTGTTTTTCTCTTTAGCGATAAGTTTATTCATAAATTTAGATTTTGAAAAAGTTTTTAAAAAGTTCAAAACTTGTTTAGGATTTTATTTATATTTAAAAGCTTGTTAATTTATTTCTACAATTTCTACAATTAATTAGCCAAGAAATGACTTCTGAAAATTTAAGTAAAATTAATATTTGCCATTAACAAAACTCGAAAGCCTTTGCTTTAAGACTTTAGTCTTAGAATTTATTCTCTGGCTCAATTTATAATAATAATAAAAATAATAATACCATTAACAAACTTCATGAACTTGAAAGGCGTACGTAAATATTGTTTAAAAGTGTAATTTTAGTAATGATTGCTTAATGAGCTGCATTTTATGCAAAGAAAGTATCGTAAGTATGGAAGTATTTTACGTTGCATTAATATAGATTTTCAAGCCCGCTAAATCCATTTGGTATTTTTAGAGGCCAACTTGTCGCAAATTTAAACGCGAACATGGTCCATTTAAAACTACACAAACATCTCAAGTATTGGAAGGAAAAAAATACTGTGAATAAGCGAGTAAAATATTAAATGTTTTCAATGAAGAAAAAATCGGGCACCGGGCAATTAACAACACAGCTGGGAATGGGATCAGATTTGAATGAAAAGCCTATATATATCAGCGGTGAAAACCGGCATAAAGGCACAAAAAACATGTTAAAGACATTCAAAAAATTAATGGAAGAGGTGCTGCAAGCGAACAAGGGCATAAATGTACTACCTCGAAAATTTAGCCAGTATATCCTGGAGAGAATGTTCGTAAATATAAGAAGACACGGTAGGATCCGTGAAGATTTCATGAGATTATGTAGTAACAATCAAATTCAACTAATTTCACGAAAAATAGCATCATTCCAAATTCTAATAGATGAGTTTAGTATTGAAGGTGAGTATTATTGTATAGAAAATTTCGACTAGTCCGATAAAAGTACTAACGTAGAAGTTTCCATTAGTAGAAAAGAAACAGAAGGAAGGAAAGCAAGAAAAAAACTGTCTTCGCCTCACGACGAAAATTGGATATCCATCGTAGTAAAGCACAAATTATTACATTTCTCAATTCAGTTTACTCCATTTAAATGAATTTTCAATGGCCACAGAGTAAAAAAACTTCCGTTGACTCTATTCTTTAATCTGTAGCAAACAATGCAATGTTTTTTAGGAGACAGCATATATTTTTTTTTAAATGAAGGTTGAATCTATGTTCTTTACGTGCTAAGTTCGCTGTGCTTCTGAACAGTGCCACCGAAGTCTCGTTGAGAACTTAACTCCCACCTTGCATGGAAAAAGCGAATACCCATTAATCTTCATGCGGAATTGTAAAGTATATGGACCACAACCTCCTCTTTGAGCAAGGCGAGACCTATCTAACACCTCAAATAGGTTTTAACATGACCACAACTACCATGAAAATACTTAAAGAGCCTTATTGTATGAGGATGCAGAACAAGAAACAGCCAGATCACTGTTGTCTCCTGATAACCGTAGTAACTTCCAATTATTGTGAAAAACTTTTTTTAAAAAGTTAGGTAGCAGTACCTATGTTCACCTTTCCAAACTTATTCTGTAAATTTTCATTGAAGACGGAGAAACATCGACACAGCCCTAGCCCCATCTCACTCGATGCTCACTACAACTGCTCATTAGCTCATTAACATTCTCTTTGTAGTAGCTTGACTATTAAGAAAACACGTTTTTTGAAAAAGACGAATACCGTCTTCCTGCACATCCTTAATATCTCTTTGGTACCGCGCAGAAATTGATAAATAATCTCAAGATTTATCGTAATTGAGGTTGTGAAACATTATGTAACTTATCGCAAAAACATTATATTTAATATACAACACATCCTTGTCAGAAGAAAACCTCATTTACATTCAGCTCAATAAATTAAGTTTCAATTTCAAATTTCAACTTTTAAAACAAACAAAATTCCAATACCCAGAGAATGTTGATCAGGAGAATTTACGTGTACTTTATAAAGACAGTCATAAACTTATATCCTTCCACGATGATAGATATATACAATAAACATATAAATAAACATATACAATCAAAAAAATTATTGTCTTTTTCATGACCTGTATATATCCTAGAATTAATTAAAG